GTTTCTTGTATGATAAAAAGAAAGGAAAATCTTAATTTTAAAATGATGTTTGATTATTGGTATTTACGTGCTTTAGACCATGCTACAAACATCACATTATGTTGTTTATTAAATCTAAARAAAGATATACAYGATGAGTTCAAAAAATACAAAGAAAAAGTTCCTGCTAATCAAATGCATGATATTCCTATGTATAWACCAGAAAGAGTAAATCTTGACAATGATAAAGAAAAAGGTGAAAAAATGTTACTGAACATGGCTATGGAGATTATTACTCCTGACTAATGTAAAAAAATTATTGCTGTTAATAAATAAAAAAATATTAATCATATTTGTTTTTCTGTTTTTTTTAGAAGTATGGCTACGAAAACCTCCATCTTTGACAATAACCATCTAAATAGATATATGCATTTGCATTATGAAATGGAAATAATTTCTAATGGAATGTCCAATAATTATTGGATCGGTGATATTCCAATGTTAAATTATAACTGGGTAACTTGGTTGAARCGCGAATTTYTWAACATCATGATTGATCATTGGAATATGAAAAATGAATTGGAATATGACCTYTATCTTCCAAAAAGTGCAAATACCCWMCAMTATCTRTTTGACGARCGCCTGAGAACCTACAGAATGGGAAGGCCCTCGTTCAAATTCCCTGTSTACATGGGAGAAAATGACGATCTTGACACATTCGAAAGAAAGAAGATGAAAACCCTTTCTGTCTATATGAGCAAGATTTGTGCCTTGTGCCTCGAAAATCAAGATCCTGATGGCGTCATTAATTCAGGCTTTTGCATGTTAAAAAATATCATAGAAAAATATCTAGATATTCTAATGAATGAATACTTGATTCTGAAGCAACAGATTTACAAACATTCTGAAAGCTTCGATGACGTAAAACAGCTAGGCACAAGCTTAAGAATCAATCATGCATATTCTATCACAGGAAGACAATGTCTTCACTTCTTAACCAAAGTGCATGCTCTTTTCACTGATTTAAGGCCTGAAATGGAAACAGCATCARCCWGTGATAAAGATTACGACGCAATAATGATCAGAGCMAAAAAACTAATTACATCRATGCCAAGAATGACAGAGCAAGACCTGGTAGACCAAATGTGTGATACTGATGATGAAGAAGAAGAGAAATGCAACTTAGCAGAATTAGCAGAATTAGCARTAAAAAAAGAMAAACGTGATCATGACRWTTATGCCCATAGTGAMAGATGTTTTCATGATGACTAAAAAAAAACACTATGAACATTAAAGGAAAAAAAAGAAGTTGAGAGTTAAATAATTAGAATATCCAGGCCAAATCTTTTTTTTTAAATATTTGTCCTGACTATTCTCAATTATTTTTCTTTATCGATAAACAAAAAAACAAATAACAAAGAGTGAAAATATAGTTTAATAGATCAAAATGTATTATATAAACATATGTATAAATAAAATGTTTTTTTTAATCAAGCATATAGAATCGAAGTTTGTTATGAATTTCATGTATAACAGCAGTTTTATAAGTCATTNGACAAATTAATATAAAAAGCGGGATTTTCCAAGGTGATTCTCTTTCACCACTTCTCTTTTGTATTGCTCTTACCCCATTATCCTCACTCTTGAATAAAAGTAGACATGGTTACAAGTCTGGCAACAAAGTTATCAATCATTTATTCTATATGGATGATTTAAAAACTTATGCGAAAAATGATGATGAACAAACAGGCCTACTTACTATCGTTAAAGGCTTTAGTGATGACATCAAAATGGAATTTGGCCTTGACAAATGTGCCAAAGCAACTTTTAAACGAGGTAAATTGGTGAAATCTGAAAACATTGTGATTGATATAAATACAACCATTCAAGATCTTGAACAAGAAGGCACATATAAATATTTAGGAGTAAGTGAAGGTGATGGAATAGAACATTCTAGCATGAAAGAGAAAATCAGAAAGGAATACTATAGACGAATACGACTGTTGCTAAAATCAGAACTAAATGCCACTAACAGAATAAATGCAATCAACACGCTTGCAGTCCCAGTTGTCTCGTACAGCTTCAATATCATTAATTGGAAATTAGAAGATTTAAGAAGACTAGATAGAAAAACTCGAAAGCTGCTGACAACTGCAAAAATGCACCATCCTAAAGCCGATGTCGATAGGCTTTACCTTCCAAGAACATCAGGTGGTAGAGGTCTTATTCAAATTGAGACAAGCTACAAGTTAACCACTATCGGTCTTCACACGTATTTGAACTCCAATGAGGACTGCCTTCTTATGATTGCTAGAGAGCATGAGCAATTGAAGAACACAACATCTGTAGATGTTCAAGCTGCTAAGTTTAAAAGAGAATTCGATGTACCAGATATCGAAAAATTGGACAATGAAGGAGCTACCACCTATGCTCGAAGAACAAAACTTAAAGCTAAAAATCTGGCACTTGAACACTTAAAACATAAATGGGAAGAAAAACCTCTTCATGGTCAGTACCCAAAACGAATTAATGACAAAGATGTGGATCAAGCACAAACGTATGAATGGCTTAGAACATCTGGCCTTAAATCTGAAACAGAAGGGTTTATCATTGCTGCACAAGACCAGTGTATCAAGACCAACTACTATAGGAATAAGATCTTAAAAGATGGAACAGACCCAATGTGTAGGATATGTGGCAAAAACCAAGAGACTATAGACCATCTTGTTTCTGGCTGCTCAGAATTGGCCAAAACAGAGTATATTCATAGGCATAACAAAGCAACAGCATACCTCCATTGGGCAATTTGTAAGCACTATAATATTGAGGTCAAAGATAAGTATTATGAACATGAACCATCAACTGTAGAAGACAATGAAGAAGCTACTATACTGTGGGATATGCCAATACAAACTGACAGGGAAATAAAGGCCAATAGACCCGATATAGTAGTGAAGAATAAGAAAGAGAAAACCTGCTTGCTTATTGATATGTCTATTCCAACTGAGAGAAACACCTCCGTAAAAACATCAGAAAAATTATCCAAATACAAAGATCTTGAAATAGAAATTCAAAGAATGTGGGGTATGAAGACCACAACAATACCTGTGGTATTATTATTATTATTAATTATTATTATTATTATTATTATTATTATTATTATTATTATTATTATTATTATTATTATTATTATTATTATTATTAAATAACGTCATTTACTCCGACATTTTTTGCCTAAATTATTAAGGATTTGTATCAATAAGGCATTTGCTGCAAATAAAACGAGTTGTTGCAAATAAAAAAGCAGTTGCTGCAAATAAAAAAGCAGTTGCTGCAAATAAAACGAGTTGCTGCAAATAAAACGAGGCGTTGTTGCAAATAAAACGAGGCGTTGCTGCAAATAAAAAATAAAAAAATTGCGCGCGCATTTGGCCGGTAAAAGACTGAGTCCTAATATTCAGTCGAAATGCCAACTTCACACGTGCAGTTCGGTAGAGTCTATTTCGTCAGACTCAGAATGAAATTCTGTCAAAACGAGCAACTAAAAACAACAATAAACACGCGAATCCTGCCCTAAAACTAACCCTAACCTTAGAGCTAGAAATATTTCTAAAGTATTGAATTAAATTGCGATAATTTTTGAGAGTGTCGTTCTGATTCTTGACGAGGTTTTGCTCTGGTTGTGACAAGAAAATAGAAATCGAATAAGCGAAATATTCAAGCAAAAAACATCGTGCTTCACACCGGCCGGGTAAGTACTGCACGAACTGCATCTCAGGGAGCCCAAGCAATGACTTTGACTCTATAATAGTTATAAATAAAATTCCCGAGTGGCCCTCATAGCTTCTCCAAATTTGTCTAGTTTTCAGTTTTGAGCGCGAAAGTGTCTCAGGATAACCTCGACACGAATAGGTTTGGGTTATTTTGGGGGACACTTTTGTGGATTTTTTTTTTGCCCGAAGCATTTCTCTCGATGCCTCTCGTCCAAAATAAGGTAGAAAACGTTGATTTACATATGCTGTATCAGATAAATGTTCGTTTTGAGTTAATTTCGGCACGAAAAAAGGATTTTTGTCGATCATTTTTGTCTCTTTTTTAGGAGATTTCGAGCGGAACCACCTCCCTTGTCACTATATATATATATTATATATGGAGGGGATTTTTTTTAACCCACTTATACTGCATTTTGATAATGAATAAAATAAAAGTATACTTTTTTTTTTTAAGACCATGGGAAGTGAAGTCATAGATTTGCGTCTGGAAATTTTTGAAAATAGATGAGGCTGTTTTTCATTATTTTTTCTTAAAACGTCTTAAATTGATCTTAGATACTTTCTTACAAATAAATGTCTTGAACTATAATGAGCGACGTAGAAATTTGCATGTTTGTGAGCTTCAGATTTTAATTCTGTCGCTCTATGTTTTAAATTTAAGGTATCTGGATGTAATTGTTTAGAACTCCAACCGGGACGAAAGAAACGGGTAAAAAAGTAATTTAAGTTGGTCAAATTGTAATAATATTTGACCAAATAATTACCAAGGGATTTAAATTCATATTGAGTACATTTTGTAAAAATCGGATTTAATTAATGCGTTTTATGGGGAAATCCAGGAAAACGCTTTTACAGCTATTTCAAACAAATTAAGCCTATTTTTTCCGCGATACCTCATGGACATAAAATTAGAGGTAGTGCCTAACGATTACTAATGTTTGGTGGAAATTGGCATCGAGGAAAGATAACATCATGTGGGCCTTAACTTCGAACAAGAATTTTCATAGAAAAAGAGCATAAAAAATTACATTTTACTTGTATCAAATATTGACTGATTTCTGGAAAAGAACTTAACTATCATATTGTTACGTTCATGCAGAGTTTCTTTCTTCCCGGTCGAAGTTCTAAACAACTGTATCCAGATACCTTAAGATTTCTAATTGGCTAAATAACTAGTATAACTATCCAAGCAGATTTTCCAAGATTTATTTATGAATAATGATTTTTTTTTTACAAATAATGAAAATTTTATGCGGCATCTCTCGGACCATGCGGGCGGTGGACGCAAATCTTTGACTCCATTTCCCATGACCCAAGTAAAATTTTATTTTTAACTATTATAGAGTCAAAGTCATTGATTGGGCTCCCTGTGACTGCACGTTTGAAGTTGGCATTTGGACTGAATAGTAGGACCCAGTCTNCAGCAGATATGTAATTAGCAGACAGGTCTAGCACGGTGAGATTACTTGGTAAGTGTTTCATGATGTCATCCACTCCACCATCAGTTATCTTATTACCATACAGGTATAGCTCGGTTATTTTTGTCTTTTGTAAATCTTTACACAAACACTTTACGTGTTCATCATTCAAATCACTCCACTCCAGCCCCAGTACAGTGAATGAACAGTTTGTGTGAGCGAGAGATGACATCAATCTCTTTATCCCAGTAATGGTTATCGGTGAGGAACCAATGTACAATCTGTATGGTGGTGATGATATTGATGTAGCAGTGGATTCTACTAACATAGCGAGTGCATCACAGTCCGTGTCGGTTACATCATATAATACAATCACCCCACGACTAGACCAGTATCTGTAGTCACGGTTTGTATTTAGTTCTTGTCTTGTTAAGCGTTTGTCTTGACCAAACTCGTGCAGGCATCGCAATGAAACCAGTCTTAGTCTGTATTCATTTTCAATATGTTTACCTAGACACTCTAGTAGTTCTAGCATTATTTCATTATTATCATTTAAACCTAACAAACCGCTCATGAATGTGTACACCATTTCAGTGCTTTCTTGTGCCGCCATTACACCTTTCTTCACCAAATACCGAGCAACAAAAAACTCTTGAATGGTCAAGTGCGTGAAGCTATATTCACAGGTTGGCTTTTGAAATGGCAAATTATTACTTGAAACAGGATAACAAAATATAAGATTACTAGATTTCATGTACAATAATTCATTTTTGGATAATTTTAGGTTTTCTAAGTCTTGTAAGGTAAAACTAAATCTCTTTTGTTCGGCTAAAAGTGCCGCTAATTTTGAAAAATTATCGAGCGTTTTGTCAACAGCCAACGAAGCGACTTTGTCATCCAAACTAAGTATTGCTCTGTTGTAATTCATTTCTATACATTGAATTACTTGAAAATAAAACTCTGTAAGTGTGAGAGGACATGAATTATCGTGTTTTTTGATTTTCCACTCGATGAACACACACATCAACAAACAACGGAAAGGAACGCGACCAAATGAAATGTAGTGCGCGCTTTCTTTAACCTTGCTAAGTGCCATGGTTTTTACTTCTTCTGGTTTTGCACTAAAATATTTCTCAACAAATTCAATAACCTGTTGTTCTGAGAATCCTGAAATTTCCACATAGCGATCAAAGTGGATTTTTTGGTTCAGCTCGTCGGCTTCGCCCGGTCTTGAGGTTACCGTGATCACTGCATTACTCAAGATCTTTTTTTGGATTAGTTTGCTGACAAGGGCTGTTACTGGCATCTTGGCTTTACTATCATTGGGTCCTTCATCATCTGTGGGTATTTTGTCGCGATTTTTATATTCGTCAAAGCCATCGAGGACAATCAATAATTTCTCTGAATGCTGAGAGAAATATTCCATTAGCGCGTCGTCTATCATTGTGGCTTCGTTGAGCAAAGGGGAGAGATTAAGCAGCTCTTGGAGGCTGAGTTCTTTGTCAAGTGAGTTTAATAATCTGAAGGGAATCAGGTAAGTGTACTTGGCGTCAGGGATTGATATGGAATTCTTGGCCAAATCTCTAACAAGTTTCTGCGAAAACAAGGTCTTTCCTATTCCTGGTTCCCCAGAAACTATTATTCTCTTAGGATTCTCTTTTCTGAGCTTTCGAATTTTTGCTCGTAAAGTTTGTAGGAAAGTCAGGTTTTCATCTTTGTGAACAAAAATTTCACTGCAGTGCTTGATTTCGGTCAGCGTTGTACGACCTACAGGGTGCTGTCCGCTTTGAATTTGTTCTGGACATCTTTCCTTTCCGTGGTGAACAACCACATTGGTGAAAATATCGTCGGTCTTCATTGGTGCATGGATCATTCCTTTTGGTTGTAGATCGTTGGTTTGGGTTATTATTGCTTCCTTTAGTTTTTCGCTGTAAAGTTGCACATCTGTAAAGAAAAGAAATAATCTAACTATACTATTTAATCTGAAGGGAATCAGGTAAGTGTACTTGGCGTCAGGGATTGATATGGAATTCTTGGCCAAATCTCTAACAAGTTTCTGCGAAAACAAGGTCTTTCCTATTCCTGGTTCCCCAGAAACTATTATTCTCTTAGGATTCTCTTTTCTGAGCTTTCGAATTTTTGCTCGTAAAGTTTGTAGGAAAGTCAGGTTTTCATCTTTGTGAACAAAAATTTCACTGCAGTGCTTGATTTCGGTCAGCGTTGTACGACCTACAGGGTGCTGTCCGCTTTGAATTTGTTCTGGACATCTTTCCTTTCCGTGGTGAACAACCACATTGGTGAAAATATCGTCGGTCTTCATTGGTGCATGGATCATTCCTTTTGGTTGTAGATCGTTGGTTTGGGTTATTATTGCTTCCTTTAGTTTTTCGCTGTAAAGTTGCACATCTGTAAAGAAAAGAAATAATCTAACTATACTATTTACAGTGTCTTCTGTAGAAGGTCTTTAATAAGTACAAACATTAAATGTGTGCATCACTTTCCATAGTCTCCTTCGCAGCCTCCCCTTTTGTCGGGCTTCCTGTCCCTCCCCAGGAAGCCCGGGACAGGAAGCCCGACAAAAGGGGAGGCTGCGAAGGAGACTACACTTTCCACTATTCAGTTACTACAAAATAGTGTTAATTAAACAATGGAAAAGAAAAGAATTAGCACAATTTAGCAGTACTATTTAGTAGTATTTATGTAGCACAGTTTTTAGTGTTTGTGGCAAAGTACTACGAAATTTATCTATAAACGTGTTTAGTAATTACTCCAGAAGATGAAATTCATTTTTTAACTTCAATTTTTTACTAAAATTTCACTTGATTTCTGATTAATCTAGCCTGCGTACATCCGGTTTAATTTCAAAACTTACGGGTAAACGCTGGATGAACTCAGGCTAAATTAATCATTGAGCCATATGGTAAAATAAAAATACATAACTCTCGGTCGTGATTTTTTTTCTCACGTTCTATGTATTTTCGTTCTTTTTTCTTTCTCTGTTTTTCTATTTTTTTGCTTAATATTGTTATTTGAAAATTTCATATTGGGTTATTCCGCATCTGAAAAAAAAAAGGATTAAACTATACCATTTGTAGAATGACTGGTTCTCAGTAGATGGGGTTGGCGAGCAACATTAAAAGTGCAAAAAAAAATGCAAAAAAAAAAAAAGACAAAAGGCGAATAAGAAATGCATGCGCGAAGGTGTGTTTACGGCGTATATGCCACAGAACTTTAAAGAATGAAGTTCATTTCTTTGTTTATTTGTTGGATTGTTTGATTTGGTTTTGTTTTATTTTGCCTGATTAGAGAGTAATAGCTGTTACTCTATTATCATAAAATCATCATACCTTTAGATTTTGCGGGTCGACTTGAAGGTCGCTCTGGACTTAGTTGGTCTACCTTCTGCTCTACGTTATCAACTTTTTCCAGCAATCTCTTTTCTGATTCCGTTACTGATTCCTTTACTTCATGAATTACTCTATCAGCCTCATCAGTGATCCATTCTTTTAAGCATTTGATGTAGTAGTCTTCATCTTCTGGTTCGAAGGATTGTGTCTTAAGACTATCAATGGCTGTCTTGTTTACACCATGTCTTAACAAAACAGTTTCAATGTCGTTCCAGTACTTGTTGAAATCAGCGTCTGATAGAGCTGGCTCAGAGATGTGGCCCAGTTTGTTACGATATAATCTCAACCTTACTACATCGTCTTCCACGTTAACACTTGTTGCTGCAGGCTCCTTGTCCCATCCATTGGCAGGTGTTGGCAAGTTGCAGATATTGCGCAGCAGYAAACTTAAAAGAGTTATGTCAAATCCTGCAGATGTTGCGATTCCTACGCTTGGATACAGTCTGTTCCACTGCTCTGGTCGTAGATGTCTTTTAGCCCTCAAATTCTTTAAGATGTTATGAATCCTGCTGTCCATCAAATGTTTCCTTAGATCGTGAGGTGGATGTTTGGCATCAAAAATCACTCTAAGGGCATGAGTTCCTCCATCGATGAGTAATTTACACATTCTATAATTGTTCCTTCTTTCTTTTTGTAATTTTTCCTTTTTGCAATCGACATTTTATTCGTCTTAGTGGTAATTTATCGATTTATTTTTTGAACTCGAGTTATGCTCACATGTATTGACTAGCTGTGGTTCTACTATAATCTATTCGATGTTTTGTCATACCTTCAGGTGTAGCCGGTTTTGATGGCTCCGGTTTTAGTTGTTCCAGCTTGTCCTTTACGCTGTCAAATTCATCCAGCACTCTCTTTTCTGATTCCTTCACTGATTCCTTCACTTCATGGATTACTCTATCAGCCTCATCAGTGATCCATTCTTTAAAGCATTTGATGTAGTAGTCTTCATCTTCTGGTTCGAAGGATTGTGTCTTAAGACTATCAATGTCTGCCTTGTCTACACCATGTCTTAACAAAACAGTTTCAATGTCGTTCCAGTATTTGTTGAAATCAACGTCTGATAGAGCTGGTTCAGAGATGTGGCCCAGTTCGTTACGATATAATCTCAACCTTACTACATCGTCTTCCACGTTAACACTTGTTGCTGCAGGCTCCTTGTCCCATCCATTGGCAGGTGCTGGCAAATTGCAGATATTGCGCAACAGAAAACTTAAAAGAGTTATGTCAAAACCTGCAGATGTTGCGATTCCTACACTTGGATACAGTCTGTTCCACTGCTCTGGTCGTAGAAGTTTTCTAGCCTTCAAATTCTTTAAGATATTATGAATCCTGCTGTCCATCAAATGTTTCYTTAGATCGTGAGGTGGATGTTTGGCATCAAAAATCACTCTAAGGGCATGAGTTCCTCCATCGATGAGTAATTTACATAATCGAGCAAAGTTGGTGTTTTCGCTTGTAACTGTTGACCATCCAGCTGTAGCCATATTGATTATATTCCTGCAGAGCAAAAACAGACAAGGATTAATGTTAAAATGTTATCGTTCGTAAGATTCATTGTGTTTTAAACAATAGTAAAGAAATAAAAAATACTAAGATTAATACTAAGATTTTTGCTTAATACTAAGATTTTTTTAATACTAAGATTTGCTTGAAAAAAACTTACGTAGAAAAAGGATCAATATTTATCACCAAAAAACATTGAAGAACACTTGTAAGTGGTGTAAAATAGAGACGAGACAATTTTGAGTAAAACCAGCATCATCTAGGTAAAACCTTTTATTACGCAAACAATCTATGTCATCGTGTCATTTGAATTATAGCTATGTTAACATTAATTGATATATTAATTGATATATTAGTTGATAATACCTTACCGAATAAAGTTTCCTGAATGGATTCCTTTCGGAAATAAGGTGTGTTGATCAAAAGTAAGCTGAAGTAATTATCTAGGTGTGTTTCATGTTCTTCTGTTTGTGACTGACTTCAGTATGGTTTGACGTGGTATAGATACTGCGACAGACACTCCTACAAACCAAACCCACCAATAGAAACAGCTATTTGTTTGTCGCTAGGTTGTCACAAAAATAGAAACTGTGACCTTCAACTTCGATGTTCAATAACATCGCAAAACCAAACCAAATTTGGAGTTGTTTGTGCACAGCGTAATGGACCATAACATTCTAC